CTCCCTCTCTCTCTCTCACTTAATCACTCACTCATTATCTTTCTTCCTTTCTCTTTCTCTCTTCTTCTTTTTTTCTCTGTCTCTCTTTCTCGCCCCTCTCTCTTTCTCTCTCTCTTTCTCTCTTACTGTCTCTCTCTCTATCTCTCTATCTCTCTGTCTCTCTTTCCCTCGCTGTATTCTCTATACCATTGACCTGCCTGGAAATTATTTCTTGGTCAACAAATAAGTGCAAATTCATTATCTTAGGTTCTGATATGTCATATAGCAATATATCATTTTTATAACAAGTTTGTGGAAAAAAAGTATAATTGAGTTTTTTTAAGACCTCTACACGTTCTTATCACAAATGGAATTTCCTGCATTTAAAATTATATATATTTAAAGAAGGAAAAAAGAATTTGCATTTTCGACCACGTTTGCCTTGAAGTTGCGTGGGATCTGTGAAATAATATTCAATTTTGGGAACCAATTAACCAATAGGAACAATAGGAGGACGTTAGATTATAGTATAATGTACCTCTTAAAAATTAATTCCCATTGTGTTTTGTTTTTGGTCAGTTTTTTCTATACCATATAATCTATCAATTCACACTTAAAATTACCCTTTTGATCACCTGTCAGAAAATCATCACTGAATTGATTTCACCGTAAATTTGTTTGTTGTTTTTGTTTGAAGGTAAACATGTTGGGTAATTTTATTTGCAGTAACATGAAATCATGACATAAATTACCATCTATTTATAGTTTTAGGCTGTTGTTTAAGTGAATTGTAATTATTCACCACCACTACGTCTTTTTTTTGCAATAGTTACTTAGCTATTTACAAATAGTTCAGATACTTTTGTTTTAAATTTAGATTTAGTTATGTTTTTTCTTATTTGTGAATGATCTCTTTTCTAAGCTAAAATATTTTAAAGAAAATTATCTACTTTTTATCTTGTTTTCATATATTGCTTTGACTCTCTAACTTTTTTTATTTTTTAAATTCCGTCAGTAAACAGTATTTTTATCACAACACTTGGCACATCGAAGAAGACTTTTCAAGGTTCTAGGCGAGAAGACCATTAAAACAACATTCCACTTTTTTTTTTTTTTTTTTCACCAAAACGTCAAGAGTTACTGACAAAAATGTTTAATAAAATTACAATTAATTAAAGTTTTCAGTTGAGATAAAAAAAGTGAATGGCACGAGCGGGATTCGAACCCACGATCTTCGGCTAGATATGCCGCTGCTCTACCACATGAGCTATATTAGCTAATATATTAATTGGTCAAGCGGACCACGAAATTAGTGAGTTTAATAAAATATATGACACAGGAAGCATTCAATTGGATTGGTTGAAATCGTCTTTTGTCACAACACCCAAGACGACAAATCCCAAAACTGTAGTTCAAACAATCAGTTTAATGAGCCTCGCTCTAAAAATATTCTTAAGGCGGAGGGAAGCTCCTAATGGTTATCCTTAGATGAATCGGTATTACACTAAAAGACCAAATCAGCAAATCATAATTTGCAATTTGCAATAGACCAGAATGCAAATTTAGTTGCTAATGCCAAGTTTTCAACCTATTTTAAGGTCATCATCAGGGCCTATATTAATTTCACATTATTGAAAAACAACCATAATTATGTCTACGGATTGACCTGTTTACATTTTTACAGGCTTTCTTCTTTAAGACCATACCTTGATCCAGTGTTTGTAAAAGTGAAAAAGTGGTTGACACTTCTAATACAGAAAATTAAAAAAATAATTTACCTCAGCAAACAACAAAATGATAATTTGAAAATTGTAAATTGCAACTACTTGATCATGTATGCTCATAATATGTACCAAACTACAGTTTTTAACAAAGGACAATTGGTTATACAGTAAAAAGTGAATGGAGAATCCACTGGAAGAAACACGTAAAATTATACGAATGTTAAAAAGACAACAGTCCCTAGTCTGCAGAAATTCCTGATCTAATATCTCAAAGCAATAAATATTTTTAATTGCATATAGATCTTTGTACCTACGTGAATGTATTTATTAGCGTGAATTTATCCCCAATCACCAGGAGGAATATCGAGTACTATGGGGCAGTGCGAACAAAGTGTGGTGTGTGAATGTAATTTATTAGCGTGAATGCTGGTTTTATCCTCAATTATCCAAAGGAATATAGAGTATTCTGGAGTATTGTGAAACCTAACCTATCATTTTTATCTTGTTTCTGTGTGTTATTTTATCCACAATTGAAGGCTCTGAGGGACAGACAGGCTAGCAATAGGATTAAAAAAAAAAGAGAGAGAGGGAAAGTTAGTTAATGTTATATCAAACATCATAACTTGGCTGGAGAAAAATGAAAAGAACTGCTGAGAAAGAGAGAGCTGGCGATGTCCAGTGTAGTCACTGCTGACCTTAAAACTAAAAACTTAAAAAAAGCAAAACAAAAAACATTTTTTACAAGAATCCAATTATTAAACAAAATAAAATAAAGATTATAATCTATGATGTAAGGTAATGTAATAATAATTGTTAATGTAATAACTTAATTTTTTTTTGGTATAATTAATATATACAACCATTTTTGAATGAAATAATTATTACATGGTTAACTTTATGAACAACACTTATTTTCTCTTGTTATATTTTTATTTTTGCAATGCACAAGAATTTATACAGTTTATTGTATGTTGTTTTGGTGTTTGAGGAAAGCAGAATTTCGTAGTTTAATATTCTCCTAAGATGCTACTTCTTTCTTCTTTGTATCTTTTGCATCTCATTATGATGTGCTGAAGATCTTCCACGGAACGACACACTTCGCATTGAGGTGACTCCTTTTTTCCTATCTTATTGATATAGTTGCCACATAGCTCATTATTCATCAGCATTCTATTTATGGTCCTGGCTGCGCTCTGTCGCAGTGATCTCCATGGTACCAAGGCTCTCGTCCTACTAAGGGGAAACACTCCTGCGGATGAAGACGCCAATTGCCAGTCCATGAGAAGAGTCAAATGTAGGGATCTTTTTATGTCTTTTGACTGGTATGGCCAGACTCCATTGCTTTTTTGGCTAATTTGGCGGCTATTTTATTACCTTTTATCCCCAGTTGTGCTTGTATCCACACTATGGAAACTTCCAGCCTATCCAGTATTTCTTGGATACTCTGGAGAATTCTCATTACTAAATACTCCATAATAATAACTTAACTACTACATTCACTAATTTCGTGGTCCGCTTGACCAATTAATATATTACAATTAATTAAGGTTTTTAGTTTGAGATAAAAAAGACAATGGCACGAGCGGGATTCAAACCCACGATCTTCAGCTTGATACGCCACTGCTCTACCACTTGAGCTATCGTGACCTCGATCCACTCGGACACCAACTTCCCATCTCAACCCCACCTTTTGAGTTTTCCCTCCTTTTGCAATTTTTCAAATGTCGTGTAATCGGATTGGATTCTCGACGACAAATGAAATGGCCATGGAGAGCTTTTAGTGAAAAGTATACTTCATTTTAAATCATTAAATTCACTAATTTCGTGGTCCGCTTGACCAATTAATATATTACAATTAATTAAGGTTTTTAGTTGAGATAAAAAACACAATGGCACGAGCGGGATTCGAACCCACGATCTTCGGCTTGATACGCCGCTGCTCTACCACTTGAGCTATCGTCACTTCGATCCACTCGGACACCAACTTCCCATCTTTAACTACTATATTTGTTTGATTTTAGGATCACTTCAATTTTGTCTTGGGTTTTGGCACTGGAATTGAGCACATTCTCTGCTATAAATGGGCATGATATAACAAAAGGAAAAGTTTATATAAACTTAAATTCTTCAGCATACTACATGGGTCATTTTTGGCATAATAGCGGTTTGAGGTTAGTAGCAAACAATATGCGTATAAAAATTTTGCCATTTATACGTCAACTTTTGAATATGAGGTGTGACGATTTCAATTCCTTTTCCACCTGCAAGTAATGTAACTTTTACATTTTTTTCCAGCCCTCCTAACTCTGAACCTGACACTGTCCGAAACTATCTACTTTCCTCTGATATGAAGAAAAACTTAATGTATATTTCTGGACTTCCTACAGGAGCTATAAAATATGAACGTATACATTGGTTGTTCAGTCTTGTCTCTTTCGAGTAAGAATTTATTTTAATATCTAATCGAGGTTGTTTTGCGAAAATTTTAATTTTAATCTGTTCAAACTGGGGCTTCTCAAACTAGGGGGTCATCAGCGAACTTCAAGATAAATTAATAATTACAAAAATAAACATAGAATGAATAAATAAAATTAAAAAACTAATAGCAATGAGTACTGAAAACAAAAGTTTTTTATTTTGCAGCAGGAGTCGTTGTGATTTCACAGACGTGCTTTAGCTATGAAACAAATGCCAGCCTCTTTTAAGAAAGTTTAGGATGTGTCTGTTCAAATTATTAATTATATCAAGTCACAGCCATTGTCAAGACTTTTCACAATAGGAAGTCTTCATCATTCCCTGCTTCTGCATACAGAAGGGACGTGGCTGTCTCGTGTGAAAGGATTTTACTGATTACAGGAATTACATTATGAAGTATTCTCTCTGTTTATGTAACACAATGTCAAATTGGCCAAGTTTTCAGTGATGAGAACTGGCAATGTATAATGTCATATTATCAGATATTTTCATTAAAATGACATGTCTTTCTTTGCATTTGAAGAGAATCGCAACTTTCGATGCTAACGGCAAAGCTTTTGATTTCAAAAAACAATCCAGTTTTGGGTTCAGTCTGTTGAGAAGGAAAAGGTGGAGTGTTTTCCTGTGTTAAATGATTTTTTAAAATGAAACAAACTAGAGGTTGCGAATGTTGATTTACCAACAGCTCGAGATACAATGCTGCAAGACCATGGGTGGTGGAAACATTTTCAGTTTCAACAAAACCAACCAGTTATAATGAAACTTGCTGATAGTGTATTAAAATAAGATCTTTGAAACTTTTCTTTTTAATTGGATCTTACCTTCTGTCCAAAAATAAACATCTATAAAGGGGGATTTATCTTGCTGGAGTTATATATTTTAATTTTAAAAAAATTCCTTGTACTTGAAAGGTGATATAATGTATTCTTTAATAATGACGATTCTTAAATTTTTTTTTTTTAAACAAACAAAAAAACATACAAAGGTACATGCGCAATGAGCAAATTTCAGAAAACTATGTACATACATGCTTGCTATACTATAAATAGTATCCTTTTGAATTTCTTATATTAATTTTAATTAGGGAAAGATTACAAATTAAAGTCGATGGTTGATAATTGTATGTAAGTTGATAATTCTTGCCTCGCTATGCTGATCCTGTAGAGAGAAGAAAATTTGTTTCGACCTCGAGGAAATACTATTCTTGAATATTGGTCTCCGATGTTGAAAAGAGTCCTCTTGTATGATCCTAGGCCAAGGATGTCTGACTTAGTGCAGATAATCAGCTCCCAAAAAAAGTCCTGTCTTCACCTGGTACCGTTCATGACTCCACCGTAGTCCTTCCCCTCTCTCTTGTTTCAACCCCTCTCTCCCTCTCTCTTCAGGCCAGCACCACACTGTATTTGTTATACAGTATATCTTCAAGTTAATATGAATGTTTTATAGACATTACTTCAGACTCCACATTGAAATCTACTTTCAAGTCGGATACTTATCCCCATTTTTGGCTCAGTCTGGAAAGCACAAAATTTCAACCACTTTGACAAAGCGAAATGCATTCTTTTCCATTTGCCACAACTTTTCTGGATTTTCCGTCTATACAGCACCAAAACTAAATGCCGAAGCTGTCTAGATGCCGAACCCGATATACTTCTCCAGCTATCAAAATTTAAATCCAACATATCCAATTTGTGCAAGGTAAAACAACCTCACTCTTCCCAATAATTCATTAATAATATTGTCTAAATTATTACTTTTGAATTTGGCTTTACCTACCCACAGATTCCGTTCTGTCCAATTTGATCTTTGTGTTCCAGATGTTGTAAATAAAGTTAAGCCACGTCTGGAAATACAGATTAGACCTAATTATGGAATTCAATGTCTGACCCCTCCAATTTATTCTCTCAATTTCCTTTATATATTATATGACTTTATTATATCCAATTTTTTGTCCATTTACCATTAAGACTTTTTCCCTCTGTTTGTTTTCTATTAAAAGTAGTTTTACTATTATGTTTAACAATTAATTAAGGTNTTAACAGTGACCTCCGGCAGACGGATTGTGATCCATGCCAGTACTATGCTTTACTAATAATCATTGTTATATTCATAGAAATAAAAAGGATTATATAAAAAATAAAAATAAAATAATAAAGTTAAGTATGTCACTCTAATGTTTGGACTGGATAATTTATAAAACTTTTATTTACTGCATACTATAAGTATCTAATTTTAAATATTTGATTGTCGGGGGTTTGTACTAGATATCGTTCTGTGAAAGGGGTCCGCTGGCTAAAAAGTGTGGGAAGCCCAGGTTTAGAGAATAGATGTGGAGAAATGTTATTTACATAAAGTGCAAAATTATAGTTGTCATTCTTCACAAATGTTAAATGTTGTAACCAGAATGCAGAATTATTATTACACCATATATTTTAGTTGATCTTAATTAATCAAAGTAATTATTTAAATTAATTTATAATTTTAATGGCATGTGGGGTTGGGATGAAAAATTAGTGTCACAAGCGGAACTCAAACCCAGCCGGAGGTCATTCTAGATATGTAATTTGGCTGTCTCTGATCATCCCAGTCCATTGTCAGAGACAAATCCAACATTGAAAACGGTGAAATGTTGATATGTTTCTGACAGACCGAACCTGCAAGAAAAGTCTTTTAATGATTTTTTAAGTCATTACTAAGATAACTAAGTTATATTAATATCGTATCCGACCCTTTAAGTGTTGAAACAACAAGTTTCAACTTTACACTACTCGATGAACTGATGGACTGGATGAAAACGTTAGACTTACTTCCGATATTTGAGATGATGGGCACCCCGGTTAATAGTGAACAGTTTTTAAAATTGAATAAGCCATGGAAACATTTGTGTTACAATACAGTTAAACATTATTGTGGTAAGTTCTTGAAAGTAATGTTGTAGTAATTAAAATCATATAATAATTTTATTAACAGAACGATTTGGGTTAAACTACGTTCAAAAATGGAAGTTTGAATTCTGGAATGAAATCGACTCAAAACAATATAATGTTTTTGGTTTTAGTATTGTAGGTTTAGTATCTTTTATTATTTGATAAATCTTTAAATAATATAATTCATCTTATACCGAATTGCTTTTAGAGTATCTGAATTATATTAAGGAATGTACAGTTGGAATTCACAAAGTATCAAAATCATTTACTGTAATGGGACCTGCAGGAGTTTTAAAACCATGGACAAATTATTCAGCCAGTTTCTTGAAGTTTTGCCATGAAAAACAAACTCTGTACGTTGTATAAATCATGTGATTACTTTTTTCTAATTTTGACTTAAATGAGTGAAGAAAAAGTGAATTTTTTACACAAAAAAATTGTATGTTATACCTTCATTTTTATTATCGTTTCAGTTGCAATTTAACTTATATCACTTACCATCAAAAAGGTTACCCCATGTACATAAAAGATGGAGCAATTAAATATAGAAATAATTTAAACAAATTGTATCCTAAATTTGCTGGATTACAGATGGCTAATGAGTAAGTATATGATTTTCTGTTTATGTTGAAATTTTTTGGAGACACACTATTTTCACTAAATAAGTTCCTATTTTTCCCTGTCATTCTATAAGTTTCCATTTTAAGAAATGAAAGTCTTGATGAATTCTGAAGCTCAGGGTTTATGATCGGTAAAGTTTTTGATCAGACAAATGTGCCTGTTATTTTTTGGATAACAGAACTTTTGGCTAGATACTAGTGCGACCTCTTCGCACTTGGACTTAATTCTTATTGATTATGCATTTCAGTGAAGCTGATACTATGACTGGATGGTGGAAAGCTACACCTTGGAGAGAAGATGTAAGATACGCATCCAAAATGGGTAGAATGGTGTATCTGTTGTATAAATCCGCCTGGAAGGCTGATATAAATTTTACCTCTTTTGATAACTCCTTTCTGAATCAAGAGCCTTTTACTTTTGAACAAAGAACGCTTTTGGCAAGGTAAAGTATTCTCCCAAATTAAGTATTATCTTTTAAAGCCTGGACTTGTTGAAACAATTTACTCCAAACGGATACATGCGATGTACAATTTTGTATTCAGTAGTTGCAACTGTTCTGACTTTTGCCTGTTGTATTTGACATGGTGAAATGGCTGTCGTTTATTCACTTGTTGAAAGTTTGAGGTATCTTTATGCAGGTACACATGTAATAGGCAGGAAGACACATGGTAATGGTACTTGATGTACCATGATGTTAGTTGGTTTACATACATAACAATCCTAAGCCAGAAAGGAATTCTTTCTTTGAATGCCAAAAACCTCTTGAGCTGCAGGTGCATGGCCCCACACCAGGATTATATACATGGAAGCAGTTAAAATGACTTTCCTGGAGACTTGACTAGCAATCTTTCTAAAGGTGCATACACACTAAGCAAATCTTGGCAAGTGAAAGTCAACCAACCACTTCGTTGACCATGAGGAGGTGAATCAGAGCCAATGAAATCTGGTGGTAACATCAAAAGGGTTGATGCTGGGTTGGCGATTCAATATGGCCGAATCCCTTGGCCCCAACCCTTTGGTTTGATGAGGATGAGTCAAGGATGGCCAATGTGTTGTCAACCAACTTTTGGCCTGATACATTGGTTTTCTTTCATTTGCCATTATTTGCTTAATGTGTTAACGAAAGAAGAAACAAGGAGTTACTATTCAGTTTTTGCATAAACCTCACAGTGTGCTCTCCTGTTGAGCTTCAAGTCATTCATCACACCCAGTAATGAGAAAGCTTCCTGGCTTGATAGGATCATAACTTTTGACCTTTTCCTAAAAAAACATTTATGTAGATCATTTATCAGTTCAAAGGTCAGGTTAAAAGTCCATGTTAATATATTTTGTTTAACTATCAATGAATTATCATCAGTAAATCAATGTCTGGAAACGATATAAGTCATATTGTAAAAATGAGGTGTTCTAGGATTGATCCTTGAGAAACCTGATTTTCTGTCTTCAAATTAGGAGATCTGATTGTTATGTCACTGTCTGTGTGACCACCAGGGGCATGGTGGTAAGATTTTTTTTTTTTTATTTGCTTAGATGCATACGGCCAGTGTCCTGTGATGTCAGCGACACCACCCGCCCGACCCGCGCGAGTCGACCAAAGCCACCCCCGGGAAGAGACCTAGAGCGCCCACCTGAATTATTTTTTTTTTTACAATTGGGAACTCCGCCCTCTCTTACGGATGCATTGGGAGGATATAGATAAAAACCACTTACAGCGCAGAGGAAAAGTCCACATCCTCCCCGCAACCTGGGGCAAAAGGTGCCCTGAGCGCTCCACTCCTCCCCCCCGACGGCCACCCGGCTGCGCGGGCAGGCCTCCCGGCCATAGATTGTTTGAATAGTGTATATATCTATTCCGCTATCTTCCAGGAGGTCAAAACTATATCTGTATATAAGACCACTACTTGTTGCCAACAAGGTTTCATAGCTGAACGGCTTGATCACCTCCTTCCATTGGAAGATCCGTCTTAAAAGATTCTCTCTTTCAGTCTCATATTCAGGACAGAAAAAGACAATGTGCCTCATGTTCTCTGGCTCATCACATGTGGAGCAATATGGCGACGACCTAAGACCAATTATATTATAATTATATATAAAAATATTATAATACTTTATAAAAGTCTTGATTGAAATGAACGAGCTATTGTTACGAGTGGGATTCAAACCCACGACCTTTATCTATTAAATTAAATTCACTAATTTCGTGGTCCGCTTGACCAATTAATATATTACAATTAATTAAGGTTTTTAGTTGAGATAAAAAAGTCAATGGCACGAGCGGGATTCGAACCCACGATCTTCAGCCAGATACGCCGCTGCTGTACCACTTGAGCTATCGTGACCTCGATCCACTTGGACACTAACTTCCCATCTCAACCCCACCTTTTGAATTTTCCCTCCTTTTTGCCATTTTTTTAATTAAATTAAATATTTCACCAGATGGACATTCGTTAAAATAAAATTGCTTGTTATCACTAAGTTCACGGTTTCCATTGACACATTTTTTCCGAAAGTAAAAACAATTTTTCAAATTTAGAAAATAATTATTTAAAAAAATATGTGCTATTGGAGACTTTTATTCACGGTTTTTCTGACCATTTATTATGGCCCACATACCATTTTAGGACTAAAGAAAACTGTTTTCTCATCATTTCATAATATTTTCGCATTTTTTAAAGCTAGTTTGGATGTCTCAATATGCATGCTGAATTCTTATTCTCAAAATTTATGATTGATCACAGTCCAAAATGACTGATAAAACCCTTTAGTAGTTAGATGTCCTAAATATGTAAATAATTTTAATACGTCGCAAAATTTATTTCATTAGGTTTACCATTAATCATGATACTAGCCATCATCAATTTTTTGAAAAGCCCAGCTACAGTGTAATGGGCCTGATGCAAATGCTGGGTGATTACGTTATAACAGCTCGACGACATCGTATCAACAAAAAGTAATTACTAAATCTTATTTTGTTCAAAAATATCAGTATTTTTAATTGCAATTTTTTTCTATTAACGGAAAAGTATCATTGATTTATAGAGATTCTGTGAGAAATAATACATTTTTTGACCAGAAACATTTATTCAAATGTATAATGTACTATATTTCAGTGTAACATATGTATTTACATCAGTATCCAAAAATGCCCCTTCGAGGATCTCAGGAATCATTGTAGGAACAAATGATTTTGATATGAATGAGGATAAAAGTACAGCGATTCTATTTAAATTTAATGTCCCAGAGACATGGAAAAATGAAGGTAAGTTTATAGATTCTTCAACTCTTTAATTGAACGTAGACACAGTTCTTTTGTATATATTTACTCTTTTCTGACTGGCAATGATTCTGGTTACGTAGACTTTTCCATGGGTGTTGTAAATGGTTTTTATTCACATCCATACCTCGGGATGTCCCAACCTAAGGACTTAACCTCTGCGATCAGGCTCCCTGGCGCTAAAAATACAATGAAAAACATGATTAAAAGAATGTGGTAGCATCAGTGGAAATCATCAAGTATCAAGAGCATTTGATAAGTGGCCTTTGGAGAATATAGAGCAGTGGTTCCCAAACTTTTTTGACCCATGGATCCCTTTTTTATAGTCAGAAATTGCCCACGGACCCCCGAGTGAAAAAGCCACATAAATGCATAATATAAAAATTACAAATTAAAAAAAAAAAATTGTTAAATATANTGTGGAAAAAAGTGAATTTATACAATGCAAAATATATTTTTTTATATTCAAAGTATTTCTACTCACTCAAAGTGTTTGTCTTCTGTGTAATTGTGCCATTCTTGCGTGTCGTGTTGAGGGTGCCAGTGTGATATTGCTGTTTTACGTTTATAAAGTTTATAAACATATCACACCAGACCGCATCTCATGATTTCTGAATAATTAATGACTTAAATGAACGTGATGAGATGCTACGAGTGTATAATTTCTAATCGGTTTCTTTATTTTGTGATGAGGTTCATAACGGCACTGAATCCATGTTCTACCAAATAGGAAGTCGGGAAAGCAGTCAACAACGTCTGTACAATAACCCATAATGCAGGATAAAAAAATTAGGATCTGTTGCAGAATTTGTGGTATCCTTGTTCAAACATTGGTTTCAGTTCCTTATTTGTAGATATTTCAATAAGCTGCTCCTGTATTAGTATGGATTCATCTGTGTTTAGGATCTTATTTTGTCCACGTGCAAAAGGGTTCAACACCCAGATCCAAGTGAAGAACGTCTTCAAATCTTTGGTTCAAGTCTGTATGAAGAGCCGTTAAGTGTTGACAGTAAGCAAGCAAATCTTCATCTCTAATTTGAAATTTCAAAAGATTTGGAAACTGAGAGCGTCTCCTCTTCCCAAGTTTTGTTTGTAAAGGTTTTGTCTTGCAACTGCAGATATTACGCTTTTAGTTTTGATTAAATTTAATTGGTCACCATGTAGTTAGTTTCAAATTAGTTTTGTTAAATTTGGCAAATAAATCAGATATAGGCTATGTCATTTTTTTAGTTAATTAAATTGTGTCGCAAATCATAGTCTGGTTTACAGGAATTCCAACACAGAATCAAAGAGCGCATAAAATCGATTTAAACATGCACTTTTAGATAACCAACATACTTCAGTTTTATATTCTATTATTTTATATTATTATTTATTACAATTAATTAAGGTTTTTAGTTGAGATAAAAAAGTAAATGGCACGAGCGGGATTCGAACCCACGATCTTCGGCAAGATACGCCGCTGCTCTACCACTTGAGCTATCGCTATTTTTGAAAAATGGCAAAAAGGAGGGACAATTCAAAAGGTGGGATTGAGATGGGAAGTTAGTGTCCGAGTGGATCGAGGTCACGATAGATCAAGTGGTAGAGCAGCGGCGTATCTAGCCGAAGATCGTGGGTTCGAATCCCGCTCGTGCCATTGACTTTTTTATCTCAACTAAAAACCTTAATTAATTGTAATATATTAATTGGTCAAGCGGACCACGAAATTAGTGAATTTAATTTACTAGCCGAAGATCGTGGGTTCGAATCCCGCTCGTGCCATTGACTTTTTTATCTCAACTAAAAACCTTAATTAATTGTAATATATTAATTGTCCAAGCGGACCACGAAATTAGTGAATTATTATTTATATTATATTATTTTATATTAAACCTTGTGCGAACCCCCTGACATTGTTCACCCCAAATCAATTTTAATTTTCCACGGACTCCCCTGAATGATACCGGGGACCACTTTGGGAACCACTGATATAGAGGATAAGCACAGCTTCTTGGTTGATAGGATCATAACCTATGATCATTTCCCAAAACCCATTTACATAGGTCATTTATCGTTCAGAGTTAAGATTAATAGTCTATGTTAGGCTTTAATAAATCATATTTTAAAAATGAGGTAAAGACTGGTCTGAATAATATATTTGCCCTGCTAGCAGTTCTGGGTACAAATCCTGAAAGAGCCCATGCTTTTTTATTGATAGTACGTAGTGCGAAACAGATATTGTACAATGGTCAGACCCTTCATCTTCGCCACCCAAAATGCTACGCCCTCCTGTATGACCTACCTACCTAATTGTGTGCTATGGACAAAATTAACACAACTCTTCTAGTGTACCTGGGTTTCATCATTGCTTAAGTTAGTCCCAAATGTGTTCAATGGTGTTCAAATCTGGACTTTGAGCTGGCCACACCAAGCACTCAATTCCAACCTCATTCAGGTAGTCAATATGTGCTCTATGTGGGCCTGGCATTATCCTGCATTAGCAAGAATATCTCACCGATGGGGGGCAAATGGTACTACATGAACTTTAATCATGTCTTGTAGGTACCTCTGTAAAGTTAGAGATCTCGCATAACAACCAATCCGGTGCGGGTATCCAAGTCATATGCCACCCCAGAATATCAATGACCTTCCGTGCATGGGTCTACCTTTCTCCTAAGCATCCCCTTATGAAATTACGCCCATGTCAAGACCTACTTGTCTTATTAGATTTCTTATCTCATTTCCCGTAATTCTGTGGTTTCGCAGAGCCTGATTATAGATGAATCTCATCTCTCTCATCTAAAAACCTAGGTCGACCCTGACCTGGTTCTTCTTGTCTGAACCCTTCTAGAGTCCCTCTGAAGTGCCGAAAACACTTTACTATTGTGTCAGTCTCCTGGCGACTTTGTGCTGGCTTTATCTATCTTTAAACTGCTAATACTTTTTTTTAATTTCCAGTGAAATATGCTGTCTATATGATCAGTAATCTTTTGCCACATCCAGCTAAGACTTTTCATGACTTAAATAATCCTTCTTCACCTTCTGCCTATCAAAGGAAATTGATTAGAAACTCACAAGCAAGTAACTGTTCAGTTATGTTTATTGTAGTACAATAGTATTTAATAGTAGCATGTTCATATTATCTAATAGGACATTTTAATCACGTGGAAGGGTACAACATTAAAAATAGGGGTATAGAAAAGCTGCAAGATGGGCAAAACATGAGAGGCCGGCAATAGCAGCCAGCTGGGAAAAAAGAAAGTTTTTAACAACTGGTTTCAAATTTCTCAAAAAACATAGACTCAGTCCCAACACTCCAAGGACTGTGATGACAGTATCATCCATTGACCACACCAAGATCGAGATTATTCATGGAGGTTGTCTAACTGGCAAACAGTGCACATGCTTTTGAATTTTTTAAATTCATTTTTCATAAAAGACTTAAGTGGGAAAGTTGAAAGTGAAAGGAAGACTCCACCACCATATCTACCAGAAAATGCACACTTTAGCCCACTAGCTGTTTGTAGTTACTTGCCTATATATTAATAATACTAAGAAAATCATCAAAGTGGCACATTTTTAAAGTCTCCAAATTGTAGGTGGATATAAAATATTAAACATCGGCTATATTAATTATTGCACACTCACTATATCTCATGAGCAATTTAAGAAATATATAATAATAATTGGAGTAGTGTACCCATACCTAGAAACAAAAGAATTAGAATTCTTCACCTGATCTCGACAAAGAAACTACTGTTAAAAAAAGAAATCTTTGAGAAAAGGCAGCTAGAAAACAGAACAAAGCGCTAGCTGAAATAATAATTATTGGACACTAAGCTTTCTGCTAAATGAATGGCCAACACTGATCTTAAAATAATCAACCAAAATGTTATTGAATTCACTAAAAAATTACTCTCAATGAAAGAAGAAATTACAGCTCTAAAAAAGGAAAACAGTGAACTTAAAGAAAAACTAATGCAGTTTGAAATGAAAAATAGAGCAAACAACTTAATATTTAAATCTTTGAAGAATGCAGCTAGCATTAAATTAGCATCACATTAACAGCTAGCTATTATTAAAAAATATATAAATTTAAATATCTTTAACTATATTTTAGGGTCCACATCTTATATCTCAAGGTATAGCAAAGGGGCAAATAAATCTCTCTCTTAATATCAGCAACCCGTCAGTGACTTTAATAAATATGTGTCATATAACATCACAAGGGCCAATCAAGGTATGCAATTTTGGAATAGTATCAAATTTAAACTCAACATGAATAACTTGTTTACCTTTATAGAGTATTATTCAACTACTTTTACACTCTTTAGATTAAAAATAAAGAAAAACAGTTCAATTTCATCCTTGCTAGAGCCAACTTGATTTGATTGTTTTTTTTTAAATTTTTTCTTTGATAAAACAATAATTATGAGAGAGCTGGAGGGTAATGAATGTGCGGATAAGGCGGCAAAGGCCAGGACGTTCCACCCTCCAGACCGGACCATCGCGACCAGGCCCTCTGACGCCAAGCTAGCAGTAAAGAACACGATAAATGAAAAATGGCGGCATCAATGGGCCAGGTTGTCCGAGAGGCTTTTGCGCTTCAAGAGCACGATTGCCCGATTGTAACTAGATCATCTCTGATCACCCTGGTCTTGCTGGTTTTGTAGTTGGTGCACAAAGTTTTAGCAGTGGGTGTTTATGCTATTTTGTTATATTTTATCAGTCAAAAAATGCCAAACTCATCCAACAGACATAACCTGCAAGGGTGTTTAGAGCAAGATGTTAAATGTTCAGGGTTATTACCAAGCGATCTTCACCACATTGTGTCACAGATTATTAATTACTTTCAATTAATTAAGGTCTTTAGTTGAGATAAAAACGTCAGTGTCACGAGCTGGATTTGAACCCACGACCTTCGGCTAAATAAGCCGCTACTCAACCACTTTAGCTATTGTGACTTCGATCCACTCAGATATCTAGCCGAAGGTCATGGGTTCGAATCCCGCTCGTGACACTGACTTTTTTATCTCATCTAAAAACCTTAATTAATTGAAAGATATTAATTGGTCAAGCGGACCACGAAAACTAGTGTATTATTAATTACATTCAATTATTGTATTTGCATAGGTTACAAATTTGCTGGCAATAAATATTACATTCAATGAAGTCTTGTTGATTTGGAAAGACAACGACAATGTCAACAGGTAATACTTTTACAATGTAAATGTCTTGTACAAAACAATTTTATACAATTTAGGATAAACATTTTATAATGATAGATTATTGTACACCGATGAACAAATTTAACGCACCATTAAATTTATTTAGTTTAAAATTAAATCCATTATCTTTCCACATTTAAATAACGTTTTTTTTTAACTTCACTTATTTACTTTTGTACTGATCCCATTTGTGCAAAAAGTAGCATTATGCCTTTCCATTCTGCTACATCTAAAGATCGCTTTCAATTAATATTTTTCCTTGGTTGATTTCATCTGATATTATTCTTGTTCTTAAACCATTTTTTATGGCTCCAGTCAAACATATGAGTGAGTATGACAATGTCAGGATCATAACACTACTAGAGGAATGATATAACCAGTACGAAGTCGCCAGGAGTCACTCTACAATAAAAAGGTTCTTCGGCACTTCAGAGAAACAGGGCTTCATACTAGAAGGCCAAGGCAGGGTCAACTTAGGTCTACGGATGAAAGAGACAGTACATTCATCCATCACCAGGCTGCACAAAAACTCAGCATTACGGGAGGGAAATGAGATAAGAAATCTGATAAGACAAGTCCAAAATGTTTCGATTTCCTCCAGGACTGTAGAACAAGGCACAATGAAAATAACTTTAGTGCCCGGCACCTGGCTTCTGGACCTCTTCCTTGGACGTCCGCACTGAATTGGTGTTGTGGAGGAAGATCTCTAACTTCACAGTGGTACTTACAAAATATAAGCGAAGAAGATGTAGTACCATTTGCCCCCCACATCGGTGAGAGATTCTTGCTAATGCATGATAATGCCAGACCCCTAGAGCAGGTACTGTGGATGACTACCTGAATGGTTGGAATTGAGTGCTTGGTGTGGCCAGTATGAAGTCCAGTGTTGAATCCAATCGAACCCCTTTGGGACCAACTTAAGCGATGACGAAACCCAGGTCCTAACACCCTAGTAGAGTTGGAAATGGCTTTTGATGAATGGGAAAAAATTCCTTAGGATTTTACCAGATATCTTTTCTAGGGGATGTAATGGCTTTTAACAGACAGGATTTGTGCTAGAGAGGAAAATAGTATTAAAGGGTACAAAAAAGTTTTTTTTTCCATTTTTACTAATTTTTTTTTACTCAATAATTGTTTTTAGTATCAGGTAATAAACATTTTCTTTTTAAACGTCTTATTTTTACAACCAAATCTATTTTTGATATGCAAAATATGAATAAACCTAAATTTAAGTATGGAGGGTGATGATTAATTTAGTTCATCAGTGTACTATCGACCAGCAGTTTTTTTTAATCTAAGCACAGTTCTGCCAAGTTTTTGACTTTATTTGAAGTCATCCTCGGTGCTTTTTGCTTCTGGTCCGTATTGTTGTTCAATGTTGAAAAAGGCCATGATGAGTATGTTGGAACCTCACTTAAGCTAAAGAGCTTATCCAAAGGCAGAAAACTTGCCAGACCTGTTTTTGGATTAAGAAACACCCTCAATCATTGCATTGTATTTAAAGGATACAGGCTAAAAACGAAATGAAGCATAACCTAATTGTTTTTGTTCCAGTTGCATTAAAACTTATATTGTTCAATTCCAAAGAGAAGGGAGTGATTCATTCATAAGGATCAATAACAAAGATACATTTTTTTGCCACTTCCACTATGCTGCGCAAGAAGGTAAATATGTAAATAGTAATTTTAATAATGAATGTTTATTAATAAAACATAACTATATAAACATCTTAACATATACATTTCATTTTATACAATTGTTATAAATATGAATATATGTTTGCAAATATAATACTGATTACAGATTTATATAAGCTCAAACCTGCACATACATGTACATACACACATGTTCAGAGTTGAGCACTTCCCATAGTCTCAGTTCACCTTGAGAATCACCCACTGTGGGTATTGGTAGTCCATGGTCAGACCTTGGTTTTATCCATCCAACCGCCAATTGAGGGTCATTGGGGTCTCGCAATATTCAGTCACTGACCCTCTCACACTACACATTCACGCTAATAAATACATTCACTCTGAACAAACTCTATTGACATAAAGCTAGCATTAGTTCAGTACTATAATTGTATAGTATAGTATATATTTCCATTGGAAAAAACCGTGTTTTTCCAAGAATCAGAACAGGGGACCCAAACAATTCCGTGCTCAAGCACAATTCTCATATCGAGTGACATTCCTGTACACTCTCTCCATGGCGTCTAGAAACGGTACCCTTCAGTCAAGTAGGTCACATTGACCCACCTTGCTCTAAATGCTTGGGCTTTGTCCCAAAAGTGTCTGTGTTTCAACTCTATGGCCTATTCTTAATCGGGTGAGGAAAACCCTTCTTCTATGAGTCATCGTCCTCCATGGGCCACATATTGACTTTGTACACAAGTACTTTTCTGCTGATCCAGCTCACCAATGCTACCACTTTCTTTTAATCATGTTTTTATAGAATTTTTAGCCTGAAGGGTCTGGATCAAAGTGGTTAAGCTTGGAGGTTGGGAGGTACCAGTTTCAGCCACCTCATCCCCCTTTTTGATACCTCCTGGACCTATATGTCGGTGTACTCAGACAACCTCTAGTTTCTGGTATCTCTCCAATGAGAGGTTCTGTTATGGGCAACAGTAACCACACTGAGTGAGACTACATAGTAGAGCCACCATCATCTCGAATCACCTCTAGCATATGCCAAATTGCATACAATTCCACCATATAAACAGCGCGGTGGGAGTGGCCATGAAGTGTACACGCCCTCACAATCACAGTGCATACCATAAAATAATTATTTTTAACAAAACACCTGTAATTATATTAGAATATAATCTTACTGAAAGTCACTTATTATTTTTCAGATTTTCTAAATTACTTTACTTATAAAAATAATTCACAACATTTGAACTATATTCCAAATGAAATCGACGAGTTAACTAGGGGAAAATATCGTGTTGTTGCTGTTGACTATTGGGACCAGAAAAGCGAATTTTCCGACGAGCTTTATTATTGATTATGTTCAATGTATTTTTATGTAAGGATTTTTGTTTAAAAAAATAAATTTATAAAGACTTTTCTGCTTTTGTTTAGTACAATTAAACCATTTTAAAATACATTTTGCATACTATAATCGATTAAAAAGCCATGGCCTCTGCCAGGATTTGAACCCAGGACTTCTAAGCCATGAGCCAGAAGCCCTAACCACTCAGCCAATGCGGTCTCCCAAATTTCTAAATATATGTTCATACTTTGTAATATTTATATTTAAAAATTTTTCTATAATCGAAGTTCATAAAACAATACAATTGTTACTGATGTGTGTAAAAATAAATGTTCAATATGAATGATATCACAATATAAGCAAAAAGTTACCTAAGTCCTTCAAATAGTGATTTCTGTTTTTATCCAATTATTTAATGGTATTTGGAATAAGTGAACTGATGTACACAAAAATAGTTTATAGAAATGATGAATGGTAGAGTGAGTGCGGTGTTCAATCCTTTTTAAAATAGTTTATTATCATTATTAATAGTCAAACAAAAACATTAATGGCTAAAACCATTTTATAATCTAATTATTAGGAATATTATTGTGTAATTAAATTATAATTGTTTTATATATGTATTTCACTGTTTGAAGTATTGAGTTAAAAATGTAAGCAGAATTTGAAAATTTGTGATGTTGAATGTTAAGAATTTCCCTTCTTTGTTCCAACCTGAGCATATACATCAAATTAAAAAGTAGTAATTTAACAATTATATCTTATTGTAAAGTGCAATAAGTTTATGAAAATTGAAACTTTATTTTAAAATATCTATAAATTACTTGAGGCAAATCAAGGCTTCATAGTCAGAAGAAATTTCAATAAAAAATTTTCTGTTAATCTCTTCATGATACTGATATAGGGAGTAAATTTTTATATACTAAAAAGTCCAAATATGTACATAAATATGTCTTTATTTTAGAAAAAATATAAAATGAGAAAATATTTTAAAAACAAAATAAATTTGATATGGTTAAAAGAATTATTTTCATCCAGACAAAATCAAATTTAAATTAATTTCATTCTTTGTATTATATTTAAAATTCAATTAATCAAGGTTTTTAGTTGAGATAAAAAAGTCAGTGTCACGAGCAGGATTCGAACCCACAACCTTCGGCTTGATACGACGCTGCTCTACCACTTGAGCTATCGTGACCTCGATCCACTCGGNGAACCCACGACCTTCGACTTGATACGCCGCTACTCTACCACTTGAGCTATCGTGACTTCGATCCACTCGGACACTAACTTACCATCTCAACCCCACCTTTTGAATGTTCCCTCCTTTTTGCCATTTTTCAAAGAGATGGAAAGTTAGTGCATGAGTGGATCGAAGTCACGATGATATATGAATGATATATAAAACATGACATGATATATAAATTTTCAAAAGTTCAAGTGACAAACAGGTCACTGGATTCGTATTTGCTAAAAAAGTGTTCCACATCTACCATGTTTTTGGAGCGAATTTCAAATTTCATTTGGGTGTACATTAATTTCTGGTTCTGAAGTTTCTCCTCGATTACCTTGCAAGAGGTCAGAGATGTTTTTTAGCCCTTGGAATCCAGGATTTTTTAGCATTTATCCACCTTTTTTATTTTATTGCTGAATTCTCCTCCAGCAGTTTTTTAATAGTTAAAGTTAAGATTCACGTGCATCCATATTCTCAATAACTGAAAATATTTTGGGCTTCCAGTTTTTTTATCGTATGTTAAATACCCATGGCATTAGCTAAACAGAAGGATGAGTATATTTTTTCCCATTACATTTCCGTCCTTTTCAATATATGTAGCAAGCAGAATCAACAAATTTTCATATAAAATCATTGATTTGAAGAAATTCCACAGCTTCTAACCATGCCCCTCATCTTGTAACAACAGGCTGAAGAGGAAGACAGTAGAGTAGTGGTCTTTTGCACTTTTGCTGGGTATTGTCACTCTGGTATTATTCACGAGAGACATTTTGGTCAAATCAGCAACCCAAATAGACAAAAATGGAAATAAAGATTCCTACTGATGACATTCAGGCCACAATTTGGCACGAGATGAAAAAGAAATGGCAACATGCGAAGTGTCCGACAAGGGTAGGTATTAACAGAGTCTGTTTCCATCAATCCTGAGGAGGCCGTGATGTTTTGTTGAGAGTAAGCTCTTCTGTACAACCTTGTCCAGCCTTAGGGAAGTTTCAATTGGTAGAGCTTACCTGTACAAAATTAATTAAGAGAAACGCTCAACTTGTGACTCTCGAGGACTTCAGATATATCATTTTAAAATGTCTCGAGTATGACATGGAGAGGAAGCAATTCCTTGATTGGATATACTCTGTCAGCACTGCTGTTGAATCTACAGATGGTTGTCGATTGTGACTGAAATAAAAGTGTCTGAATGCGTATTCCTCTTCCTGAGAAACGTTAAAAATTGTAATTTGACTGAACTATAACATGAATAACATTTGTGTTTTCCCACATCCCAAGGGTGGGTCAGTGTGCTGCTTCTGCAAAATGCCAGGAACCCTCGAAAAAGTGGACTTTTCCATAGGTGTATTTACTGTAAATGATTTCTTATCACATACTTGAAAAGGGGCTCATACGGTCAGCTTTGCAAGGTGTAATAAATGGTATAAGACTGGGGAGCCTCCCTGGTCGGTGTTGGCGGATGGCTAGTAAAAATAAAAATTAAAAAAAATCATTTTTACTTTTCTTTTAATGCCATACATATCATGAATTAAAACTGTTACACCAATGTTAAAAATCCCACAATATAGTAAAATATGTGATGAAAATATGTAATAAAAATTTAATTTACCCCAAAATATTTGAAAATATGTAACACCGGCATGTTTTAAATTGCTTCAAAACATCAATACTATGTAATATGGCAATATTTGGTAAAAAAAGTAAATATAAAAATCCTCTCCCTACAAATAACGTTCCTATACAATGCAATATTAAATATTTTGATACATCTTCTAAATGTAAAAATGGAACTGATATAATTAATTAAAAAGTTCATTGGGGGAGGGAATTGAAGAAAAATAAAAACCAATTTTAAATGACACAATCGATTATATTTAGAATAGAATTTTTTTTCACTGAAGAACATAAGTAATAGAATATATCATTTATTTTCTAAAATAGTATCAATCGCTAATATAATTATTGTAGGAAAATAGAAAGTAGAAAATATTTCATCAGGAACAAACTGTAATCTTATGTGGAAATCATCAAAAAACATTAATTGAAATGGATTTCAATTGATTTTAGTGTAAAGTATGCCTTTTCGTGATAAAGAAAACTAAATGCAATAAAGTTGAACACAGTAATTTGTTTTATACATGAAATATGTATATATATGTACATATAAATATGTACAGGTTGAGTTTACCTTCTGTTCCACTGTATATTTTTTTCTATTGGGGCGTTTTCGTGAAAAATCCATGGGAAAATTTTTATTTGAGGCATTTCTCATGAGCCAAAAAGTTTCGCTACTACTCTCTAGGATAACGATATATTGATAGAAACTTAACGATTTCAAATTGCAAGTGCATTTTTTAAAAATTAAAGTAAACATTCAGAACAATTCCCTCACTAACATTGACCGACGGGACGGGATACTCTAGACATAGGTCAATTTTGGCCCACTTTTCCCAACTCATCATCTCTAATTTTTCTGGTAATGTATGAGATATTTTTACGATTTGCACAGAAAGTTGAAGAACGTAAAAACTAAACTTTAGACTGGCGAATTTTTACAATAAGGTTAACTGAGAATTAAAACATTTCAATCTTTTTTTTGGGGGGGGGGATTATTCAAAAGGTTCAAATATCAACAAATTTTTATTTTGGTTTGTTTGTTAAATATTAGTTTATTTAAGTTTGTATTTTGGACAAGGCTGAATCGCGCTTTAATGATATACATCCAGAGAGTTGATCGATGTTATTTGAGGAAATTGTTCCGAATTTTTTCTTCCTGTACCATAAGTAATTTATCCATTAACTAAACTGAAAAATAAATTGGTTAAAGAAATTGAAGAAAATTTCATTTACCCAAAAAACAAACAAAAAATGTTCAGAATAGGTTTTTTTGCAAATAACTTAAGAACGGTAGCTCTAAATTAAAACCCATTTGCATCGTTTAATTCAGTGTTAAAAGTCCTTTAAATAATCAAATTGCAATTTGAAATACTATCTATATAGCAGTATATATCTGAATCTGTTTATCCAGCAGAGTTAGATCAAAACTTGTTGGTTCATGAGAACCTAGACAAAAATAAAAGTGTCTCGGGATTTTTCTCAAAAACATTCCAATAAAAAAATATATATATAAAATAAATAAATAAATATAAGGAACAGAAGTTAAACTCACCCTATATATATTTGTTTTTTCATCAACACTAAGCACATTAGGCATTTTAAGAGAAGCATTTATACTGGGAAAGTGAAGCATATATTGAGAAAGGCACACTGATAGTATAGATTAATGAACACTTAATACTCAATATATTAAAAATATTATTACATTAACCTGTTTTTCTAAATACGCAAGTCATATAAAATTTATATAAGCATTCAGCCCAAGAGGTTTTTTATTAAAACTTGTACCTATCTTAAAAAAATAGATTAATGTAAAATAAACGGTGCAATGCTTGTTGACAACTGTAATGTTAACACGTCTTCGGCCTTTCCGTTTATAGTACTAGTAAAATCAATTACAAGTTCTTAAACGAACATGCGTTCTTTGTAAGAATTGAAAAATAAATTAAATACCTGTGTTAAGCTGAAAAGCTCACAATGAACCTTTAGGTCAAAATTTTTTTTAGAATGTTGACAGTTATATCTCTACATTTTTGTTTAGTAACTATCGTCTATCTTAAAAATACATCTTTCAGTTTTAATCTAGAAATTGTTAATAAAATAGAATAAAAATGTTACTGTTAAAATATGTTAAAGTGTTTCATTAAATAGTGATCTGTTATATTGTAAAACGTACTTACAATACTTTATATAAAATTAACAATCGTAAATAAAATTTAAACTATTTATACTCCTATAACTACTCTTTTCGATAGAAGTTAAACAATGAATTATATATATTATAAATCCTACTAATATAGATTTTCTAAACAATTGACATCAGAATTAGAACATTTTATCAAATATCTTTATATAAAACCATAAATTGATGGCGCTACGAATAAAATCAGTTAAAAAATGTTGGAATTTTATTAGCTCTATGCCATTTTGTCTCTATATAAAAATAAAATTCAATTTTGTTCAAAAATATTTCAATAAATTATTATTCTTGAATGCATGGTGTTTTGAGTGTTACGATATTAATAAAACGATGAAGCATAAAACCAAATATGTAATGTACAAAGTTTCATTGGTCGGAAAATCGAACCTTATTTATTGGATACAGCTTCTTACACCAAACAAACTACATAATTATGCAGTATTGTAAATTAAACGAGACAACAAATAACATTTAAATTCCCATCGATACATAACAGCAACACCAAAGTATACTTTCATCTATACAACAATATATTCAAGAACAACATGAACTACTTAATCAATAATGTTTTAAGAAGTCAATACAGAAAAAATATTACAAAAAAAAATTTTTTTTTGAGATATAGAAAATTCTTTAATTATAAAAAGCGAAGTATGAAATTATAAATAAACTTTGCTTTATAAATCTGTGCACTTATAATTGTGCGATATTTGAAAAGTTACAGCATCTTTATAATAATAAAATTTAAATAAATATATTCCATTAAATACCGTTTGAAATAAAATGTTTATTACTGGACTATTTGAAGGAACATAATACGACCTTTTATAAATGTTAAGTATTGATATTAATATTCAGAAATTTCCAGTTTATAGAGAATTAGATTTCTGATTAAAAAAAAAAGAGAATTGATGTTGAGTTTTGTATAACTTTTGAATTTTTCTTTAGGGTTTCGTAAGTTTGAAAAAAAAAACCAGGTCGGATATGAAAGATTAAATGATAAACAGCAAGTTGTTACATATCCAGTGAAAAATTACTTTATAAATTTCTCCTACAGAAGATATACTATACACTTATTTATATTATGTAAAATCAAAGTGACATATGTCATAACAATTTTTTTTCATTATTGTACATTCAATATCATAAGTTCCATCAACATTTCAACATTGATCTATTAAATTAATATTTCATATACCTATGTAAAAATCTATTCATTCTCATAGCATGTCATTTTTCTTGAAATTAATTAAAATCTTTATTATCAAATTGATAAAAGATTATTTTCCACAGGGTTAACTTCAAATTTTTGGAGGACCTATGCCTAGAAAGATGGTGAAACTCTCAACTCGTTACTATCGATTACCAATTTAAAAAAAAAAACATCTGTCCATAGACATTTTGATATTCACAAAAAATGCATTGCATTTGAATTATTCCACCAAAATTCTTCGATTTTTCATTTTTACCTGTCTAAAAAAATCAGGTTTTACAATAGCCAATTATTTACACTCGTGAAAAAATGAAACCAACTCAAATTTTTGTAGTCACACAACTAGTTTTATGGTTGGTCCCAATTGCTATTCAAAAATTTGCTAAAAGCATTTATATATCATTATATTTAATGCAATTCAGCCTTAATTTTTATATTACATTCACTTCATTTTGAATAACGAAAGGAAAATTACAAAATTCATATAGATCTACACTCTATGAAAATATGGTAGTTATTAGGTAGGTCCATGAAAGAGAATTACGTCAAAATTCCACTATAGGGTTTGTTTTCTAATTCAAATCTTATTTATTTTCCCATTGTCTATTTAAATTATTTAGGACGGAAAGTTTTGAGAAAACGATGAACATTTTTATATATGTGCCTAATGAAATTCAGCATGAGATTCATTATGAATAAAAAGTCGAGTGTAGAATGGCCATAGAAGAAAAGTGCGGTAGATACATCGTGTTATTTGTTTTCTTTCAATAGCTGAATTTTTTTTATATAAGTTTAGTATTTTAAAATGAACAGTGTTCACAGTAATATAAATACATTTAATTAGAACACTGTTGCTTTTAGATTTTTAGAATTAAAATTTAAATCAAAACCTAAATTTACAAGCTTAAAATTGAAACATGTGTGTAAAGATGAAAGTATTTTCATATTAAGGGTCTAAAAAATTTTAATATGCGACTTCTGCGTGTAAATTGTAAATTATGTGTAATAGAAAATTAAAATAAGCTATATAAACACAATTTATGTTATATAATATTTATAAAAATAATTATTTTAGATTTTTATAAACACACTTTTAATATTTGTTTGGTTCAATTTTTTTATATTAGCTAATTTAAGCTATGAATGTTATACTATAGTGTATGATTTTTTTTCTTTCCTTTATAATTCCAAAAATCCGACGGAAAATTTCATTCAAACAAATTATACTAAAAATTTAAAATTTGCTTTCAAGTTGAGTTGGTCTAATACAAAACCCTGTATAGTTTATCAATCAAAATGACAAAAAAGTCATACACTTATTATTTGGATTTTGAACAATGATTGTCAATTTTTATATTAGGTTATGCCAATTTTGGTAATATTGACTTCAAATCTTTGTTCAAAAAAAAAAATGTTTTCTTCATTCAGCAAATAGTTGCAATTTGCTATTTTTGCAAATAAAAGGCATAAATTATACATATCATAAAAGAACGATGAAAAGATAATTATAAATATCAAATCAAATATTATTAATTATTTATAAATATGAAATAATTTACTGTTTGACGGTTTGACAGCATATGCTGCGATTTGACCAACAGCGCACATATAATCAGCGATTGTGTTCCACAAACTGTAATTCCGCCTTTCCTTCTGCGTGAACGATTCAGGGATCTGGTCAACTGTGCGTTGTTGCTTCGGAGGAGGATGACGTGGCCAAGTTCTCGTTTTGGGTTTACCAGAATTCTTATGTTCTCAGGCATACTCTGTGTCAGTTGACAAACTTCTGTCACCCAATGAATATGTCCTATCTTCGTAGTACCTTTCGTCTTCGTCGTCTTCGCCTCTTCCATCGGGAGAGACTAGATCGTCGGAGTAAGTCCCCCTGGAATGCGCAAAAGCGATGCTTTTTTGGTAACTGAACAGTTGCCTTTCCAGCCCATAATTTTCAGCTTGAAGAGCGTGAATCTCTTTCCTGAAACAGAAGTTGACTATGTACAAAAATACAATTTTTTTAACTTGATTATTTTTTTTAGTTAATTGCAAAGTCAATAGAAAAAATAGATGTGCAAGTTTAGGTCATAAATTTTTCTTTTACTAAAATTATTGACTTGCAACAAGCAACATTAAATTGCATACATTTTTAGTATTTGTTTACTAAACATATGTTTTCTTACTGGATTTATAAGAGAAATAAAATATACAATATACACATATATACGTATTTATTTTTTAATAAATATGCGGATAAAAAAAAGAAGGAAAAAATTTTGTGTGTGTGTGTGTAAAAAAACAAAAAAAAACATTTATTTATGAATAAAAAAAATATAATTACACAAATTAGTTGAATAATCTGTAAAATGAAATAATATAACAAGACAATAAAAACCAATAAAAATCAACCTTTGATTTTCAAATTTATTTGAAATAACGTACATTTTTAATTTTTTGTAACTAAAAATGCATTTTTTCTAGTGCTAAAAAAAATTCTATAAAATAAAAACGCATTAAAAAATATGAAAGCCTGTGCAGCTGCCCCTTATGCAAAGAAAGGTTGTGTGTCCCACATAATAGAAGCATTTCAGCCTTGGCTCCTTACTGAGAGCTTGTAGGCATGCTGCCGAATTTAAGAATGGGTCCCCCTATTCTGCTGTTTGGAGGATGTGGTTTTTTATACTGCATATAGATCAGTTATTTTTGAGTGTGTGTATTTATTAGCGTGAGTGGTGTGGGGCTGATGACGAAATATAGCATCACCATCACCCCCTCCAGCAGTGTTTGTGTGTGGTAGGGTTGATGGCTGAATATTCATAGAATATAAAAGTACCCCATAGATCCTAATTTAAATTAGATTATTAATATTGCATGTAGGTCGATGGAGGAATATTGAGTACTTCACTCACTAATCAAAATGAGTGCATTGCACATAGGTGTGTATAGATGTTAGTTAGTTTCAGGTTAGATTATAGTTTACAAATCTGTAAATGACCTAGGTGTTAAAGGCCCCAGTTGGAGCCTAACCCCGTTGATTGGGAAGTGATGATCTCCTGGATATCTTAAGGGGCATAACTGAACTCCTCTGAGGTGTAGACCCTAGAGTCAATCACATCGGAGAGTGACAAGTCATAGGGGTGAAAGTTCAATTAATAAATTAATGTGTAATTATATTAGGTATTTGAAAAATGTGAAAAAGAGATAAACTAAAAATGTAAAACTTTAATCTTCAAAAATATTTGAAATAATTTGCTACAGTCAAATTACATCAAACTGGTACTTAAATATTTTGGGCCCAACTGAAGGCTGCAATTACATTTGGAGTGAGAAGAAATTTGTTTTTGATATTTCCTCCAAACGAAAATCTCGTTTTTTGGCTATCTCTCATTTTGTCAAGTCTGAGTTTTTTTCCTAGCACATCCATAACTGTTTGTTCCCCTTTGTCCTCTGTCCTTCCACCAATATTTTCCAATTTTTGGAAGCCGTCGTTCACTAGCAATGCTGTTGCAGAGTTCACCCATTGGGTTTTCCAAATATCAAAAGTTGGTTGGAACAAAAGCTAAAGTTTGCACGATTTCTCCAAATTTTGCAATGTTATTAATTTTTGAAAAATTTTTCACCTTAGTATACAGTGGCTTCTATCCAGGTCCCTGTCTCATTATGACAGGTCGTGGTGGATAGTTATCCTTTAAAGCCCCTACTCTACTCAGCGCTTTAAGGAAAATCTTTTACGTATTTGATATTAAAAAAATACACATCTAAAAATTCATATTTTTCTAAATTTTTGTTTGTTTGTTTTTGTTTTGAAATTTTTAGTCCTCTGAAAACCTAATTGTGAATTGCTCATTTTTTTAAACTAAAATTTTTTTAAAAATTAAATATGTGTCAAAATAAATTAAGGTAAAATATGTAACTGTGTAAAATCCTCTAAATATTTACAAGTATGTAAAATATAAAAATGGTTTACTTGCTTCTAAATAGCATGAATTATGAAATAAAAGTTTCATAAATGGTGTGCAAGGCTCAGAAAAAAATACGAGAATACATTATAAATTATCACACTATTATGTATGTAGTCGATCGCTTTTTTGTTACTTAAAAACACAACTTATCTTATATTTTTGTGTCATATTATAGTTAAGTTGTAAAATATTATTTTTATTTGTTTATTTATTAAAATACTTTTTTTATTTGTACATTCATTCGTATAACTCATCCCTACTGATCACCATGATCCCCAAGTATAGTAAATGAGAAAATGTATATTTTAGTAATGATGAAAGATTTTTCAATTGTTGATTGTTTAAACCTGTTTCACAATCGTGAAATTTTCAATTAACCATGACAAACATTGTTTAAAATTTGCAATTTTTAAAGTAACAAGTAGTTCCAGCAACAAAAAATAATTACAACATATATAATAATAAATATTTATTTAGAAATCATGAGATGCGGTCTGGTGTGATGTAGGTTTCAGAAAAACATTTTCTTTATCGTGCCAACGTTTCGATCTTTATTGAGATCATCTTCAGGGCTCAAAGTGTTTGTCTTCTGTGTAATTGTGCCATTCTTGCATGTCGTGTCGAGAGTATAATAATAAACATAAATAATAAACAATAATTACAGCATTTATACCTCATTTGTTGATTGTGGATTCTGCTTACATCATCATATTTATGATACGTAGATTGAAAAAGTAGAAAACTTTCTTCCCATTCAACTTGAACTTTAAGTTGGCCTTTGTCAGTTAAATAAGGACATCCTGGTTCTCTCAACTAAAATAATTATTTTATTTCATACAGACTTACTAATGGTCATTTTGGATTATTAAATTATCACATTAAAATGATGCATTTGTATAATAATATAATTATTATGTTTGTTAATTACTTCTTTTATTCCAATATCTGTTTCCATGATAATGCCTTCATCAGACGCATCCTGCGCATAATAATGACTGAAAGGTGCTCCTGGGAGAGGAACCGGCTCAACATGTTTACCATGATGTTGAACCACGTAGGCAGTCCATGATACATACCTGAAATTTTATGCATATAACTAGTTGTAAATTGTCTGAGCTGTAAAAAAAAAGTTAATGTTACCTCAAGTGGTTTCTGGGTACATTGTGAATATCTTTATACACCATGTGTAGTCTAACAGAGTCAGAATGACAATCAGTTTTAATGCTCCAGCCTTGTTTATCCCTGTCGTAACACTGTGAAACTCCTTGGGCCGTCACCCCAATCGATGCGGCTCCCATGGTTTGTTGTTGGATGACAACACTTGATATAACTTCACTTAATGTATTGGCCAAAATCATTTCAAGGTGAAGTCGAATACAGCCCTGAGTAAATTAAAGGAAATCAATGTCGATAAAAAAAGAGGTTAATAATTATTCTCACTTTATAAACCAAATCGTGAAATCTTGCTCGAGGATGCCAGCCATAACTTTTCCCATCGGAATCAGATACGTCATCTACAATTCCAGAATCTAGTCTTCTTTCTCCATCGCCTAAAACCACGGAATATCGTACCCTGCATTGATGATCAAAACCTGTACATCGGTTCAAATACAGTGAAAGTCGTCCATCAGAGCCACTTCCTGAAAACAGGTATTAAACAAATCAAACATTTATTTTATTTACTATAAACACGTGCTTAAAAGCCTTATTTGATAGGACAAAAACAAAAACAAGGTAAATACAATACAAAAATAAATAGATCAATAAGTAAATATAAGAAAACACATAAGTGAATATAAAGAGCCCTTTACACATATAACCAATCTAATTGAAGGCCAATGGGGTACTCAATATTCTGCCATCAACACTCTTAAACTACACATTCATGCCAATAAATACATTCACTCTCAACACTCACTAGGTAGACAAAACTTTCAATACTATGTACAATAAAACAACCCAGTTTCCTCCATTAATTGAAAGGGGACTCAGATACTCGCTGCCATGCTCAAGCACAATTCTCATATCAAATGGCACTCCTACACGCTCTCTATATGGGGCCAAGGAATTTCACCTTTCAATTAGGTGGGACACATCGAACAACCTTTCTCTACATGCCTATACGTGGGCTTTAACCTAAAAGTGTCCGTGTGTTAACCTTACATAGCTTATTTAAAGAGAAAAATTATACCACAATAGGTTATGTAAAGAAGACTAGACATAGAATATGTTAGCTATGAAAAAGGTGTAACTAAACATACATAAATTTGAAGTGGAACTTAAAAGTTTTTTATTTTTGTAATTTTTATCATTGAAATCGTCTATGTTAATGGAGTTGGCTTGTTTATTGCTTGGAGATGAAAACTTAGTATAACTGTTCAGGCGTAAGGCTAGGTTAAAATGTTGTTTATTGGAGGAGTTGTGGGTAGTTTATGTAATTATTTAATGAAGAAATATATATATATATATATATATATATATATCTGCAAATATATTAAATATGTATTTAAGATCTAGTTTTAAGCCTGTCTATATTTGTAAATACATACAACACCAACTGCGGCCTTGGAAAACCTTTCACAGCTCCAAATCAAGGAGATGCCAGAGTAGTGGCTCACAAGCTCATAATTGGACAACCATCTGCAAGAATAGGCCTTGTCAATGAACAATGGAGGGAGGAGATACTGGCAAATGCCATACTAGGCATGCCAATCGATGCCAATACTACAAAATACGAACTTCACCAGTAAGTACAATGTACTTATGTCAGAAAGGGAAGAATGGCCGAAGTACTTCTGAAGGCCATTTACCGTTGGTATACTAATGGTTCGAAAACTTATACAGGCATAGGAGCTAGATGCCTCGGGATGAATCTGATGACTGAACTGGCTTTAAATTTAAGTGAATACGCTAAATTTTCAAATCTGAAATCATAGCGATTGAACTCTGCACTAGAGAAATAAATAGACTAGGAATGCATTGCAGGAAGATAACCATAGTGGATACATCCAAAAATAAGTCCAAAACCTGGTAGAGCAACACCCCAGGCATGTAGGAGGGCCATGTGCAAGACTACAAAGGAATCTCTGGAAGAAACCCCAACAGGGCCAGGATTCTGGTTGGACTCCATGAGCCTAAGAGGACACATAAACCGGATAGGAGTACAAACAGAAGAAACACTGTCCAGATATGGCAAGGAAGAAGAGGAGGCCGCAGAACACGTTTTACATTTCTATGAGTATGTAGGCATGGCAACTAGAAGAGAAAAAGCTGCAAGCAAGATCCTACAGTAAGGAAACACTGGTAAGGTTATGGAAGTTGAATAACAACCTGAAGCTGGCCAGTGAATTACAAGAAACTACTCTATTGATCTACTCAGATTGAGGTGTGGAAGGTCTTGTGGCTGCCTCATTTATTCACATCCCTGTCTATATTTAATGAAATTAAAAATTTGGCATAATTTACAGAAAAAATTGTGTAATAAAACCCAATTTATCTGAGAAACCTATGCGGGAAACTTTCAAGAGAATATTGTAGATTCTGATGTGATAACCAAACTAAGGAGAGAATTCAAGGATGGATCTGACAAAGGATGTACAAATCAATTTTAACACCTGAATGTTCTGAAAATCTTTACAAAAATTGTAAATCCCAGAAGTTTTAGAGTTTTAGCACCTAAATTTAAAATGTATTTTTTAAATGTTAGCTGTTGTCAAACACGATGCCCATGTCCTTAATAATCCATACATGTTTAGTGGTCATAATTGACCGTATTAATATTTAAATTAATTATTTTTTTCTCTAAGGTCTTGGTCGAGATGAAAAAGAATAATTAATTGAAGTCCTTAATAATATTGGCTGAAGTGAGTATAGTTAAAATTATTATTATAAATTCCTTCTAAATTGCCAAAAACCCTACAAAAAGGACTTGTGCAAGGAAAAACGGACAGACCAAGACCTCCATCAGAAAGTTGATTGCTTCCTATTTGTAGTTCAACGACCTATCATCATCCATGTCTATCAAGAGCTTGGATGCGAACTTCGGACTGTGTCTGTTACACATTTTTTTAAGAGTTTTCGCATTTAGTCAAGAGGATTAGGGATGGTAGAAAAGTATCGATACTTCATTGGCATAAATGCCATTTATGAAACAAGAAACAATGGAGGACCTAAGTGAGATCCCTGAGGAACTCATGAAGTAACAGCATTTAAAAGATCCAGAAAAATTAACTATAACTATTTGGAACCTATTTTCCAGAAATGAGTGAAAACAGAGAAGATCATCACCTAAACCATAAGTCTTCACACTTCACAGTCGAAATGTCATGATTGACAGTGCCAAACGCTTTCTCGAAACCGGTGTGAATTGTATCTACACGTTTATCAAACGAATTTAGAATTTTTGATAGATTCAAAGATTGGTGAATACTGACTTTTTTTCACAAAACCATGTTTTTGCTGGATAATCTCAGACATAAATAAAAAAAAAAAAATACGTACATACAAAGAACAGTTACAATGTAAGAAGGACAAAATGCTTAATTTAACTTTCAGACATAGAATACATTACTTACCATGATGGTCTTTAGTACCAAATGGGTACAATGCAAGAGTCCAGTCAAATCCTCCAAATGTGAAATACGTGGTTTCAATTTTAGCAGGCATCTTGGACACAGGCATTTGGTGACTTCTAGTTAGATGCCCGAACATGGACGTTGGAACACGAAATTCAGAATCGAAAACAGTTCTCACATGTCCCATACTTAACTCAAGTTGGAATTCTCCATTGTGATCAGTGAAGTTTCTTGAGTAAAGATCATTAACAGGAATGTAATTACGGTTCCCTTGAGCAGGACAGTCCAGTGTGAACTTAACCTAAAACACCACATCAACTAATTTTTCTTATTTATTCTGATTATAAATATATTTTAAATATATATTTTATTACAGAAGCAGTTTGTAATAAGAAAACGCTGGTTACTATAAAGCAACATATTCATGACACGATGATATTTGATATTTATGTTTATGCTTTTGCTACTGTGTTTTCCGTTATGATTTGTTGTTCTTCCCAATAACCAAGATAAAATAATAACTTGGATGTTAGTTAAAGGATGTGTTGAAAAGCAGGTTCTTTTCTTTTATGTCATAAATTTTCTCTAACTATGCTAGATTTTTGTGACTTTGTACCAAATTTGGTGGTTCTATTATTGTTTTTATCCAAATTTCTTCTAATATCATTGATACAAAAACTGTAGATAATAGAATATTTTGATGTAATGCCCTATATTAAAGGGTGGTTTTTCTGCGACATGTCAATATATTTTAATGCAATCCCTTATGTTCTACCCCACTGTCAGCCCATCCGCCAGAGTTGCATGTACCTTTTTGCTAATGCACTAGGTCCGAATATTGTATTGAGTAAAATGTGTGCCCTTGTAGCAGCGAACTTGTAAACATTCATCCCCCCAGTGCACTTGACTCTTTCTCTTAAGAAGTACTAGGCCATTGACAGTCATTACTACAAGTGTTTTCCCTGGGTTTTCTTTGTATCCCAGGTTATGTTTCCATTGAATGGTTTGCATTTGAAGATGATATGGATGGTTGTTTCTTCCTCCCTCATTGCATTACCTACAAGTGGGGTTATTTTTGTTTTCTCAGATGCTATTGACTGGTAGTCCTATCACTCTTTTGAGGTTAGAACTCTCTAACTGTAACAGTGAGCTTGCTTTGTTTTTTTAACATAAGCATGTTGTCATCTTGTCTAACGCCTCTCTTTTCAACCTAGAGTTTATCCACTCCTGACTTTTTTTTTTATTGATTCTGTGGTGCAAGATTCTACGTTTGTTTTCGATATTTTAAGAATAGGTGAAGGGTCTATATATGGTCTTGCAGATCCACCTCTGTCCAGAATTTTTACTTTCTCCATTTCATTGCCATTTTATTACCTAAAATTCCTTTGTGACCTGGTACCCAATGTATAGTTGTTGTGTTTCCCCAGGTTTTGGTTGCATTCACTAGTTTTGATGTGATTTTTTTTTTACATGCTAATGCTTTAAAAGCTACTTGGTTTTCTGATCTTACGAGGATTTTTGTTTGACAGTGTAACCTTTTTTAAGATTTTCTAAGGCACAAGTGTTGATGAATTTTGTTTGAAGACTGAGGTGTACTTCCCTAATGAGTTTGATTTCTCATATTTTGGGATGGGAAAAATGAGGTAATGAGGTGTGGTCCTAGGATAGAACCTTGAAGAACACCTTATTTTATGTGTCTAAATTTTGAGAACTGGTTGTTATGCTGCACTGTCTATATACAGCTTGACGATAAGATGGTAGGATGATGATGAGATGTACTTTCCTGGTTCTTTAGTTCAGTACAATTGACTCGATCCTTCTCTGAAGGAGTACTAGGCCATTGTCTATCGTTGCTTATATTCCCTGGGTTTTATCTGTATCCCAGGTTATGTCTTTATTAGTTACTTTGCATTACATGATATGGGTGGCTGGTTCTTCTCCCACGTTGCATAAACTACAAATGGGGCATCATTGAATATACACATGTTATGGAGATGTTTTCTCAGATGCCAGTGACTAGTAGTTCTATCATATCTTTGTTTTTAGTGTTGCTCTCGCCTCTAATTATGCCTTGAAAGGTATTCAACCTTTGTCGCGAAGGAAGTTTTTACTTGTATTTTTCCAGGGATCAAGGAGGCTTTTCTTAGCTAATCAAACATTTGAATATTCTCCCCGTTCTGTTCGAACTTTTTGGAGTATCTTTTAAAAGTCTTCTTTTAGGGGCGTCGGTGGATGCAACGGTTAAGGCGTTGGCACAGCGAATCATCACTGTAAGGTAGAGATACGGGGTTCGAATAACCTACAAACAGGCTTTTTTTTTCGAAAACACCCTGATGGTTGATTGACCTCTGATGTTGTGAACACCCGTAAAAAACGTCATTTTCTTTTCTATCAGAACTTGCCCCAATTATTCTTTTCTTATGGTTTTTTGGGAGTTTTCATGTATTTCATTGTTTCTACTCTCGGTGGCAGTTTTCGTAAATGCTCTTGTTTCATCCGATCTCGACGAAACCACTTCGGTAAAGAAAGCACTCCCGTATATCACCAGCTAGGTATCAACATTTTTTACATTTACCCCTCGGCGGTGTTGTCAGTAAAGACTCAACGCCATCCTTAATGCTCACGTGGATCATGGCAGGAAGATTAATAACGGGTGAAGAGATATATTGTAATGTTAAGGAGTCTCAAGGGTTGGCCATTAACAATGGAAATTTCAATAATAAAATGCATTACTACCAATAAAAAAAAGCCAAAAAATTAAATTAGTTCTTGACGTCAATTAAATGCTGAAGACTACATTTATGAATACAAAATAGATTAATATAAACTGTTGCTACTAAAAAGCTTTGGACATCATAGAAATTAGTTTTAATAAGAAAGCAAGATTAAATTTGACTCAGTGTTTAGCATTAAGGCTGTTTTTTATACTATGATTTAAATATCACTGTGCATTTAGCATCACAGTTTAATTAGCAGTAGAATATAAATTTAAAAAAATATATATACCTGTTTGCCTGAAAACGCTTCATTCACAGAAAAATGTTCCCTATTTAAAATCGTGAATGTAAAATCGACATAGACTCTCATAGAGTTGGACGTTGATTTCCAGACGAGATAAACGCCTAGCACCTTGTCAGTCCTGGAGAACGTGATTGCCCATCGCTGGTGGCCACATGAAAACTCTTTGCTTGTGACATCCCGTTCCAAATCGCGGGTCACGCTTTTGGTGACGACAAATGTGAAAATATGACTGTTGGCACGATCAGGGATTTTGACGAACCTATAGAGAAGAGCCATCAAGTTGCATGCACACCTGAAACAAATAATTACTAGTTACAACAACGACATAACAATAATATTAATAAGATATAGTAGTTTGAATTATTCAATCTATAGTCTTAAGGAATGATGGAAGAAATGGGCTAGCATATATTAGCAGGAATTGACCAGTTCTTCATTGTCTATTATTAGTAGGTCTACCATACGCGAAATAGCGTCTTAACGTATTATTGGTTGAGGTAAAGGAAAGTTTAGTAACTTTTTAACTACTGGTACAGGACTTTTCCATCAAAAGGATTATGGAATGAAGGAATGATTAAATCGGCGGAATAGCAAGTATTCATTAAAACGGCGTTCAATATTTCATGATTAACAATAACTGCATAAAAAAACAAAAAACAAATGTCAACTAATTCTGAAAAGTCCAAAATTCTATGGAAATAATATATGTAGATGGCTTGGTATTGACCATTTCACTATGGTCAGCGCTCTTCGTTCCCCAAGTGAGACATTGAGAGCTTGATATCGCGCTCAACCCTACCTCTTTGCAAGCATTGCGGGTGTGATATATTGTTCATCCCTTCCTCTACGCTGCACTAAGGGTGTGATATTGAGTTCATCCCTACCTCTACGTAGGCAATGAAAGGGTGATATCGCGCACATCCCTACCTCTACGCAGACCCTCAAAGCGTGATATCGAGTTCATCCCTACCTCTACCAACTCACTGAAAGGGTGATAGCGCGCACATCCCTACCTCTACGCAGACCCTCAAAGCGTGATATTGAGTTCATTCCTACCTCTACGCGGCACTGAAAGGGTGATATCGCGCTCTACTCTCTTCTCTTTTATATTCAAGTTCATAGAAGCAGTATGCCGTTTAATTTATTTTTATCGCTAGTGAGATTGGGACATTTAAAATCATAACGCAACACACTGTTTCTTTAAACTTCAGTATAAAAGTAAGGAGACAAGAGCGCAATTTACGCTCTCAGTATCTGAATAAAGGTGCCAATAATGGGACCGATATCTAGAATTTAGTCAGAAGAATGAATAAACTTAAATTAAAGGAGGGGAAGGAAATAAGTTCTTATGAATGGGAAATATTCTTTTAAAAAAATTTCAAAACAGATAGGGTAAGTGTGGAGTCAATAACTTATTTTGATGCAGACTATCCGGGTTGGATGACCCAGTAATACTAGAGGAACTACAGGGAAGCATTTGTTCATCCCGACCAAAAAAGCGCCTGGGATTGACTTAATGTCCAATGAATGTTTCAAATATCTCCCTCCAACATGAGCACTACCTGTTGAATCTATGCAACGAAATTTTTTCTTCGAAAACCACGGAGCTTAGTTTAATTAAAACTTCTCTTTAAGAAAGTCGATCGGTCAGGTTAACTACAGACCACCATACAACCGTTAAGTATAGAGGTCTTGCACAACTCAATAACGTAACTAATTTATTTACCCAAATTTTTGAAATTGAATCACTAGGTGGACAGAACTTTTCCAAATTCTTCCCGAAAAACAGATGGGATTCTGTAAAGGGAAAGGCTGTGTTAATACAATTTTCCCTTCGTGCTCTGCGGTCAATACCCAATTAAGAATAGAGAAAAGTAAGGTTTTTTTATTTTCATCTTCGTCGATTTTACTAGGGCGTTTGATTCCATTTTATACTATAAAATTTTTGAAAAACTGTATGACATGGGTATGTCCTAAAGTTATTAGAATTGTTATTGAGCTTTTTGAAAAAGCTAGATTAATTATATAAAGGGGATGATGGTTCAAATGAAATTAAAGTTACAGAAGTAGTCGTAGTGTAAAGCGAAAAAATCTCCCCGATTCTTTTCTGTTTATTTATGTCAGACATATCTTTTTTACGCTCAAGGGGTGCTCAAATCAATAAAGACATTTAAATGTTACTATAAGCAGTTGATGGCTATAACTGCATTCATGGAGTGATGCCCAGTTTAAATTACAATTGCTAAGTGAGCATTGCAAAATAATCGTGTCTTTCCAAAAATGTGGTCACTTAAAATAGCTTAAGAATTTTACTTATGAAGGTATCCCTTAGCGGGGAATTACTGATGGACCGATGTTCCCATCTTTACTCATGGGTGTGGAGACCCATGAGGATCTTTATCGTCCGGACTTATCCCCGAGAGGATTTCTCAGACGCCCATTGTTCTCAAAGAGAACACCAGGAAGATTTTACATGCATGGACTTGTCATACTCCTTGGCTAGCGAGGTGGTGCAATGCTAACTAAGTTCAGAAGTGACCCAAAAAGGGCACATCCATACATGTCCCTTGAAAAAGGCAGTTTTGTGGTTTCTGGCACAGCCTTTGAGTCGTGCCTTGCACCACCCCCGGAGAGAAGGCACTTTATCTCCTTCTCCGGTTGGCCGGTACTCTCCAGCTAAGGTACAGTTTGTTTGGAAACCACGACCACCACGAGTCACGCCTCAATTAGTAGAGCCGCTTGGATACTCTACTAATGGTGGTTCAGTGTTATATTTAAGGTGGGACTGATCGCCCAACCGGGAGTTCATACAAACCCCCTACTGATGCACCCGTTGCCTGAGGGGTGCGTGTTCAGTAACCCTGGAAGCCTTTGCCAAAGCAGAGGAGGTAAGGAAGAGAAAGGGAAAGTAGGAAAGGAAGGGTATAAGAAGATTAATTTGTCTAAATTTGTCTCCATCATTGGTTACCCCCAGGCACCAGGGTTGATGGTCGGACTTTGCCTGGGCCAACAAGGGAGGTGTTGCCTCCATTAGTAGAGCCGCTTGGATACTCTACTTCCGTGGTTCAGTATTATTAATAAGGTGGGACTAATCCACCCGGGAGTTCGTACGAACCCCGTACTGATGCACCCGTTGCCTGAGGGGTGCGGTTTAGTAACCCAAACTTGTTGGACCATCTTATATTTGACCCTGTTGAACGAAAACACAAAACCTCCGTAATCTTGTGAATGACGAGTCTAACTTCATGCCAAGCATTGCGCTGAACCTTTTACCCTGTGTGTATGACGCGTTCACATCATTGATGACAGATGCACCAGTAAAATGATGGAATTCAGCTACTAGTATTAGTTAATTAAATAGAAATGGTCTGCGTTTTTCCTAACAAATATGGGCTTCAACCCCACCGAATACGAACATACGAAGTACGATTATTGCGGAATCATTTCATGCAGACTACAACTGTCAATCCTACGCATCCCATCCGACTGTTGATGTTATAATTACTGCTATCAAACAAATCCAAGCCAAAAATCCGCAAAGATTAAAAAAGGCTCTGAAAACCCGATGAAAAGACGGACCCGTGAATTGATTGATTTTTTGAACACAACCTGGAGTAAGTTTAAAGGAAACATAACAGACAGCAACGTGATGGAGTACCTCGGTAAACTTTAAGAACGTCAGTTGAACACTGACGAAGACAACGAGTGAATTATTGTTATGTAGAATAATTCGTTGTGTCATAACGAAGGATGCGTGGCTGAACAAAATTTACTTTTAGTAATTACATGTTTATTGTTTCATTAAATGCCATTCTTACTGTTGTCAGTAGATTGAAAACTTAGTTGACATTTGATTTATAATTTGAGTTCGTCATCTGCTTTTGGGTCCAAACGGGTTCAGTAATTAACTCATTCGTTGGTGAAAGCAGCATCCTACCCTTAGCTGTCTCAAGATAGTTTGTCTACCTTGGCGTTCCCTTTTCTTCCTCTGTCATGTTGAGTGTGGCCTCTTCATATTTTGTAAATAAAAGCATTATAGCCATCCCAACAGTCTTGAATCCTTTAAGTCCAACGTAACATAACATGAAAAAGTACAATGGCGTAGGAATGTTACCAAGACTCTTTCAAAATCAAGCATTCGTTTCCCGCATACTCGGTCATCCTAAAAAGGACTCTGAGGATCTTTAACGTCCGCTCCTAGCCTATTCGGGCCTTATCGGACGTTTTGATTCTCACGATGAGTGCTGACGCACCTCCGCATACGACAGAAGGGTGTTACTGCCGCAGCGTTGGTGTAGAGGCAGCTCAGCCCCGAAGGGCCAAGACAACGTCGCTCCCCGCTTGCCATTCCGAATGATCGGGTCCGCATTGAGCATCAGACCGTATGCCGCGCGCAAAGGGCTACCTAAGCCGAAATACAACAGCTCGGTCTTCCGCGCACTCTCTAGATAGAGAAGGCGACTCTATCTCCCAGAGTATTGGGGCTCCCGTAGCGTAAGAACTTCCGGATCTGGCCCGGCCACGGTTTCGTTTAAAGTGGAATTTCTAACCGCCCCCTAGAGGAGTACCGCCTACGGTAAAGCCTCCAACCGAGCTCAGCCTACACCTACGTGCAAAGCACACTCGAGTAGGAGCAACCGATTCACTACTCGTTCCCATCCGCCACTACTCACGTATTCGAGGGACTTTTCAGCATAATCATCGCGTCCTCAACGCCTATATGCTGCCATCCGATACGCCGTATCCCGTGAGGCCGGGTGTATAACGGTGGTCATACGCAAATTTCGTGCGGAGGTCACAGGTAGAAGACAACCTTTTCTCTAAGTTCCCGCCAGGGGCGTCGCCACGTACCACTACGAATCCATTCCCATTGTAACAGGGGCTGAATTTGGAACATTTCTGTTACACCGTAGCACAGATGGTTTATACACCCTCCCCCGTCTATGCAATCTGGTACCCTAACCCTCGAGTGCCTCTGATAAGACAACCCTCGCCCCAGCCGACCCGAGGCCGACACGAGTACAGCTTGTGCTTTAGAGAGGTTGCCACGCCCTCAGGGCTACACCTTTATTTTGCGCCCGGACACCCCCTAGTAACGAAGGGTTGGGAGGGGTTCACAGGATAGAATGAAGGAACCTGGATTGAGAAAGGGACGTGGATGAAGACGCGAGGTAAGTCGTTTCGGGGTCTCGAGCCTCAACAACATTATACCACCCGTCGTCGCTGCAGTTCCAGTTGAGTGGCTACAACTCCCTGGGTGGGTTCAAAATCGAGCAATGGACTAT